GAAACATGTCATCACAGATGTGCATATTCTATATATATTAATGCATATTCTAACTGTATTTTTGCACTTATATCTATTTACAGTATTCTGCCTACTGTTTTAAATTGTATTGAAATATACCTGGCTGCTATAACTACTTAATTTCCTTCCAGAGATTAATACAGTTTATAGTTGATATATATACAGTATATATACAGTATCTGTCTGTCTGGTAGCATCATGCAATCAGTATGTTACCCTCTCAAATATATATTTTTTTCTGGGATGTATGATATTCATGTTTTTTTTCTCCAATCATTGCAGCATATGTATAATCATAGCAGTCCAGAACCTAAATGAAGTGGGCACAGTTTACTCTCCGTGCGTTTCGAGGTCCTGGGTGTATTCAGCGTGGACTGACAGACACGAGGGGACCAAGGACAGGAATGGGCTGTACAAATGCTTCCCAAGCGACAATACGTGCTCAATCCAAAATGTTCCTGTTCGCTGAAGATATAGTGGAAGTAAATAAACTGAGTTTCCCTACTCACGGACAAAAGCACCAAGCATAATAATTAGATGACTATTTAAGTACTGAAAATGAAACCATTTTGTCCAAATTATGTTAAAGGTTTAAGACTGACTATATTCATGTTTATCCAGAAGAAACAGGTAGCAAGTAAAAAAAAGCTTATATTTTACTGAGAATTTTAACATCCTATATACTGTACATGCCTCAGTTACTTTCATCAGTTGTCAAAAGATCCATTCTGTGGCGAGACACCCAGGCGACCTGCAGGTTGTGTCTCCGATCCGCTCTTTGTGAGACAGCATCCCCACCTTCGGCGACCTTATGCACAGCGGCCTGCTTTTTCAGTAGAACAGTATCGTACATTATGAGAATGAAACATGTTACCGAACCCTGTGACCGTTCCTGGGCAGAGTCTCTAGGTCACCTAAAGGTCAGGGGATCGCTGTGTGAAAAGCTCAGATAGACAGCTCACCGAAAAAGTGGATGAATCCTAGCTGGCGGCCATTGGATGGAGGGATCTGGAGAGAGCTGCGTGGAGGAAGCGATCATTACAATTCACTGAGGGCTATGTTTCTGTCACCCTTTATGTCATCGATCACCTTCACGGCTCCATTACCCTGGGGATTAAATCAGTTACTGTAGTACTTCCATTTGAAGAACTACACTGATCAATGTCAACCCCCAGCCCACAGAGCAAAATAATAAGGCCACACAGAAAATGCCCTCGCATGTATGTATACGTATGTACTGCACATCCGACAAACATAAAATCCCTTCTGTGTTCAATCTTTCAGACATTGATTTTCCTTCAATTCCCTCTTCAGAACTGGACTCCACTGTGTCCAGCACAAACCCTGCTCTCTCACGCTAATTCCATTAGTGCAGCTTGCTTCATGTTTTACAGGCACATAAAAAGGCAACAGACGCAAATACTAGCTGTGCACTTCGCTCAACTGACTTTTAGGCAACTACTGTACATTAGATGATATCTGCAGTCAACAAGTCAGAGGAGTCCTGACAAGTGTCGAGTATTAGGAGGGTCCTTGAATAAAGGTTGTTATCTGAAGTCAAGCTGTTCACTCATGATTTAATGTTTTTATTTTACCTGAGACATAGTGTTGATTGTAAAATTCCAACCGCCTGTGGCTGTGAATTTTAATTTCAGGATCAGAAATAAAAGGAGAAATATCTTCACCGAAACCAATGTAAAGACAGAGGATGTACAGTAACTAAAGAGTGCCTGTTGGCATGGTAACATTCTTCTTATAGAAACCCAGGAATAAAAATTAATGCTCTTAATGTGTAGGTAGCTTACTTTTAGCAGAAGATGAATGCTGCAAGCGCAGCCTCTAGTGAAGTTATGTGTAATTAATTTGTTTAATTGTATTTTCTAGAAGAATGATTGGTCTCAAACAGGGGTGCAGACAGACCTTGTAGAATGGGGGAGTCAGACTAGACCCAATGATTTGACTGGTGTGGCAACAGGGGTTAGGGGGGGACCTTGGTGCATTCTGCCCGATATTATCTATTAATCGAGTTGGAGACACACCATGATTGACTGATCGAGGGTTTGAACGGCTTTGGTGTGGGGTGGTAACTGGGGTGGCCGCGTGTTTACTGGGGCGGGGCGGGGCATCCCCCCCCCCCGGTCATGCATTGTGGCATCGCTGTTGGGAGGCTGTGACATTTGTGAAGCGATGGACGATCAGAGCGGATTGGTAATCACCAGTTGTTTGTGTGCATTGCATTTTATGGATGTTAAAAGGTTTGGCTGCTTGATTTGCACGAGCATGTTATTCTGTCTGAAACCCCCTGCCCCCCTTCGTCAGCAAAATAATTTGAATATGTATGAATTTATTGTGTGGTCCTGAACTTGTCCTACAATTACAAAATTATTTTCAACAGTGTGATTGAGGCCATATAAGGTGGTTTGTTTTAATTCTCTCTTGTTGCTTGTGTTCCGGATTTTTATTAGCTTTAGCTCTCAGGTGAGATTCCGTAAAATTAGCTGCCGTCTCTTATGTCTGCCTCTACTTATGTTCCTAATTCATTTAGCTTCGAGGTAAATGTTCTTACTGAAAGTTTGGAAGGGATGGTTGAGAAGCAGAACTGAGCAGAACTGAATAGACAGGAAAACATCAAGACTTGCCTTTATGTATTTTTTTATTTTTTAATGATGCTCTTAGGTTTTTGTTCCATGCGACTGATTCAGCACCAGCAAATTCTGTCATCTTGGGCTGTGCTACAGTGAGATTGACTTGATACAGCTGGTTCATGTCATGTTTGTATGTTTTTCAGCAAATAATGACTTTACAGATATAACTTTTATTTTAAAAAATAATAATTATGAGTCCTATACTTGGCAGGTAAACTACTATAAAAAAAAAGAATGCCTGACTGTTTTTGACAGCCAAACTGTGAAAAAGTATTGAGTATGGGGAAGGTCCGTATGGTTTGACCCCCCAAAGCATGCTGGGAAAATTACGGCAGCTTCAAAACTCATTAGTGAGTCGCACGGCCGCAAGCTGCTTCCGATCTTAAAACATGTCGAAGACGAGAGCTGCTCCTTCAGCCTCCCCAGCTACTACAGGTGATTTCCTCATAATTACCTCATTTCTCTCTCTTAGCTGTAAGAAGCACGAGTCCTGCATGTCATTTCAGAATAGATGAAACCTCTGCATCACATACAGTAGTCCTCTCACCTTTAACTTCAGCCCTTTTATAAATAGTAATCTATTTTTGCGTCAAGATTTTTATTTGTCACTGGCATGAATGTAGAAATAGCCCAGCAGTGATTTGTCTCTCCAGACGCATCTCAAAACTACAACTAGCTGTGCTTGCTGAAAGGTCCTGGTTTTTTTTTTTTTTGGGGGGGGGGCGGGCAGTTCCAGGAGAGGTCTCCATTGCAATCAACCCTCTGTGTGCGTGTGTGGTGTTAAACAAGAGACAAATGTTCAGTCACTTTAAATCCCTGAGTCTGGAGCGCATTTCTTCCTGATTTGGGTTTCCCCATTCGCAGAAGGGTCAACAGTCCTGGTAGAGAATAGATTAAACTCATATTTAGCCATAATCTCATTTTTAGTTCAGGGGGGCTGTTAGTGAGATGATATGATTAAAGTACATTTATTCTATACAAAATTTTTATTAATTAGTCATATTAAGACTGCAGGGCTTCACATATGACACTTTTTAAGCAAAACTTATGCCATGTTTAATTAAAGTCCATTTTTCTGTAAGCAATAAAGAATTTTTAATTAAAACAATCCCCTCTGTGGACATAATATTCAGAGACTTCTGCAAGAAACTTAAAATTATTCCTGTTCTCAATGGTTGGAAACACTTTGTCAGTGTGTGTGTGTATATATATATATATATATATATATATATATATATATATATATATATATATATATATATATATATATACTGTATATATATATATACATATGGTGTGGGGTTGTTTTCCAGTGAAAGGAACTCTTAATGCTGCAGCATTCTAAGCCATTTTGGACAATTTCATGCTCCCAACTTTGTGGGGACAGTTTGGGGACGGCCCCTTCCTGTTCCAACATGACTGTGCACCAGTGCACAAAGCAAGGTTCATAACAACAACAAACAACAAATTTATTTTTGTATAGCGCATTATCACAACATTACATCGTCTCAAAGCGCTTTACAGCATCCCCACCCAAAGCCCCCAGAGAGTAAGCCAGAGGCGACAGTGGCAAGGAAAAACTCCCTAGAAGGAAGAAACCTTGGGAGGGACCAGAGTCAAAGGGGGAGCCCATCCTCCAGGGGCCGGCAGGGAGAGTCAAATACAGTTAAGTCTGAAACACAAACGGGGAGCAGGGGGGAGATGACAAGCCGGTGCCAACGCTCCCTCCAGTCGCCAGGCAGCCAGAAGGCAGGGAGCGGGTCATACATGGAAGATGACACAGGCAGAACGGCGACATGGATGAGTGAGTCTGGTGTGGAGGAACTTCACTGGCTTGTATGGAGCCCTGACCTCAACCCGACAGAACACCTTTGGGATGAATTAGAGTGGAGACTGCGAGCCAGGCTTTCTCTTCCAACATCAGTGCCTGACCTCACAAATGCTCTCCTGGAAGAATGATTAAAAATTCCCATAAACATACTCCTAAACCTTGTGGACAGCCTTCCCAGAGGACCTGAAGCTGTTATAGTTGCAAAGGGTGGGCCAACTCCATATTAAAGCCTATGCATTAAGAATGGGATGTCATTAAAGTTCATGTATGTGTAAAGGCAGGTGTCCCAATACAGTACATTTGGCACTGTAGTGTATCTAATATGGCAGAGCAGTCTACAAGACCCTGAGCCCAATGAATAGCTGGCTAAACCACCCCATGAATTTCACCCAGGGGATGTGTAAGATTGGTGGAAGGGCGTCACAAACACACAGGTTCGGTCAACCGAAATGGGACAGAGATGTGACTCAATACATCGGTTTTTGATTACACTCCAAATCGAAATAATTATATACACATCAAAAAAAAAAAACACTCACCTTAGGGGACTCAGGAAGTGGCATCAATTAATCGATGGACAAGAGACTCACTCCAGGCTGGGTCTCCGTGAACACTCAGGTGCACACACACACACACACACACACACACACCCAGTGGGCTATATCCAAGTGATCTACACCACAGAGAGAGAGGGCCACCACCAGCAGGGAGGACTCAGATCGGGCAGCTCCAGGCCACTAACCCTGAAACAGACAAGACACAGGGATTAAAGCCACTTAATGCCCTGATGCCTTCGCTACCATCTGGGTTGAATACCGATAGAAATGCACCCAAAAAATAAAAGCACCAATAAAAGGAGGTACAAATACAAAGTAATCAATGTAAACACCCCAAACTCGGGGCAATCATAACAAAAATCACTCCACACAAAGCAGTAAATTAACACGAGACAAACAAAAAAAACACTAATGGCAGCCTGTAGCTGCCCTACAAAAGAAGAAAAAAAATCACGATTAAAACAGGCGATGTATCAGTCATCCGCACACCAACGCCAGACAGCCCGGCGCCCACCGGTGATCCACGGAGAATAACGTCGTAACAGGGATAAACGACAAAACAGCAGCAGAAGTCCGCTTCCAGCGGCAAACCTGCAATATACTGTATTACACTGCAGTATATTACAGCAGCCAAGGATTGGGCTAAATATTACATAAATCCAACTTAAACGGTACGATTTACCTACTGCAAGTAGATGAAAACAAGTGAACTCAACCAACCCAACAAAACACAGTAGCCTTAATTAAAATGAGTTCACCTAAGGTATAAAACTACTCGCTACTGTGCATCACGCTTACTGCCAGATACTCCGACGTGCAACCCTAACTTAAAGGGACAGCTGAGAATGCGCTGACTAACAATGCAGCCGCAACTACTGTACATATAAAATCGAAAACAATGTATCGGTAGCAAAAGGCGGCGTTAACTTTCAGATTTTAAGGTTAGAGTGACTGTACTAAGGGAAAAAAACATTGCGACTGCATGTTAACGGAAACTCAGATCTGCTGGAGGAAGGGGATTAACAGCAGAATGCTTACGTTTCCCGCTGGATAGAATGAGCCTCTAGACTGAGTCGTCCTTGACAAGTTCTGGAAGTATGACTGGAGCTGGTCCGGAAGTTGGTAATGAGGTCACGTAGCTGGGCTGTGGGCCATAAAAACAAACCTCCAAACAGTTCTTTTTGCAGGTGAAGAAAAAAAACCTGCTTACTCAAGCTCAAGCCTTCCTCTGACATGCCGGCCACTCATCCCAATTGCTTTATTTTACTGCAAATTAAACCATGATTCTCTCATAATCTTCACTAAGAGAAACTGATGAAGCTGATTGATAAGGAAGTAGTTGTTTGTGAACCATGAATTACTTCAGCTTTGTTCTCCCATTCGCAGTCATAGATCATCACCTTCTGCTCTATTGTCTCTCCTGAGATTTAAATTTACCACCATGGTTTCTTGGGCCTTTAGGTTTGCAGCTCCGAAGCTGTTCCCTCCCCCCAGAGCCTGTGAAACTGCTTCTCCCCCCATATTCAAGCCCCATCTCACCTCTCTCTGCTACGCCTCCTTTCCTGATCACTGACTGTCATTTTGTTCAATCTTTTTACCATGAATTGAGTTAATCTGTCTTTTTTGTTTATCATTCACCTATAAAGCACCAATGGGTTGGCGATAGGTACTATTGATTATAAATTAAACCTGTTGTTGTTGAATATGATTTCATCTATCCTTTTTCTAAAACTGCTTGTCCTATTCAGGGTCACAGGAGTCCAGAGCCTATGGGTGCAAGGCAGAGAACAACCCAGAATCGGGCACCAACCCACCACAGGGCAGAGAACAACCCAGAATCGGCACCAACCCACCACAGGGCAGAGAACAACCCAGGATGGGGCATCAACCCACCGCAGGGCAGAGAACAACCCAGGATGGGGCACCAACCCACCACAGGGCAGAGAACAACCCAGGATGGGGCNAACCCAGGATGGGGCATCAACCCACCGCAGGGCAGAGAACAACCCAGGATGGGGCACCAACCCACCACAGGGCAGAGAACAACCCAGGATGGGGCGCCAACCCACCACAGTTCAGAGAACAACCCAGGATGGGACGCCAACCAACCACAGGGCAGAGAACAACCCAGGATGGGACGCCAACCAACCACAGGGCAGAGAACAACCCAGNGAGAACAACCCAGGATGGGACGCCAACCAACCACAGGGCAGAGAACAACCCAGGATGGGACACCAGCCCACCATAGGTCACACTCACACACCTATTTATCTCAAAGGTGTTCGATGGGTGATGTGTGGACCAGTAAAGTTCTTCCACACCAAACTCACTCAACCATGTTTTTATGGACCTTGCTTTGTGCACTGGGGCACAGTCATGCTGGAACAGAAAAGGGTCGTCCCCAAGTTGTTCCCATAAAGTCGGAAGCATAGAATTATCCAAAATATTTTGGTATGTTGAAGCATTAAGAGTTCCCTTCACTGGAACTAAGGGGCCCAGCCCAGCCCCTGAAAAACAACCCCACACCATTATCCCTCCTCCACCAAACTTTAGAGTTGGCACAATGCAGGTAATGTTCTCCTTGTGTCTGGGTTTGGCAGACTCATCCATCAGATTGCCAGATAGAGAAGCACGATTCGTCACTCCACAGAACATGTTTCCACTGCTCCAGAGTCCAGTAGCGCCGTGCTTCACTCCACTCCATCTGATCTGACACTTGGTATTGCGCTTGGTGATATGAGGCTTGCATGCAGTAGTCGAATTGTAAAAACAAATCAGGGGGGATGGTGAATTTTTTCGTTTATCAGACATATTGTGTGCTGATGACAGTGCACATGGTGGGAGATCAACTGTGTACCCTTTTTATTGTTGTTTAAGCAAAAACATAATTAATATATTCTACTATCCTAAACCAACATGCATGGTGTGGATGTTACATGTCAGATACTCCTGTCATTGATCCTGACCGAGGAACCTCAGAATTGGAGTCAGTCCCCTGGCTGGCAAAGCTATCACATGCTCAATAGTTAGGGTCAAATGCAGAGGACACATTTTCCCACTTGGTTCAAGTGCAGCTTCATACTCATGGTACTTTGAAATCTTTTGGTAATTCATCTATTACAATTCAAAACAAAACCTCAGAAAACATTGTAAATGAACATCTGAATCCACTCAAGTCAGGTCGAGTCCATTTTAATTCACATGCAAAAACAAAACAATGAAACCATTGAAACAATTTACAAAATCTGAAAATGAATCTTACAAATTACACAAATATATAGCACAAACTGAGATTTTTTTGGATAAAAGTGACTTACATAAAACCCCATAGAAGTTTCCAAAGATTTCCATAATCATGTTTTTTTTTTTAAGTCACCTTGTTAGAGACCGTATCTCCCTTCACTTATACAGCAACCGCGTCTCACGGCCGTTCGGGTTTTTTCGGCACCAGAAGGAAGCCTACGAACGCAAAAGTAACTAATGTAAGTGACGAACATAAATGAACGTAAAAGTGATAAGACAAGCGCAGACGGAACATGAAAAATAAATCCGAAATCGCGGAGGACGCTTTTGGAGGTTGAGTAGCCAAAGATCAGTTTTAAAAACGTTTTAAAATAATTTTAAAAATCGATTCGTTCAGACTTACGATTCGGTTCAACCTGTTCACTAAAAAAACGAGTTAAAAAGAACGATACGTTCGCGAATTGGCCATCACTAACGCATTCATTGATAAAATAGCACAAGGGATGGAAAGGGGGGATGTTCGTTTTAGAAGGGGGGTGATTTTGACTGTTTTTTTTTCAGGGGGGATGACATCCCTCCTCATCCCCCCTCAACTCGAGTACTGCTTGCATGCAGCTGCTCAGCCATGGAAGCCCATTCCGTGAAGCTCCCAGGGCACAGTTTTTGTGCTGGGATTAATGCCAGAGGAAATTTTGTAACTCTGCAGTTACTGAGTAAACAAAGCGTTTGGCGACTTTTATACTCTAAGCACCTCAGTACTCGGCAACCCCACTATATTACTTTATGCGGTCTGCTACTGCGTGACTGAGTAAAAACATAAAAACACTTTTCAGTAATACCACTTACAGTTGACTGTGGAATATCGGGCAGGGAAGAAATTTCACTTATTGCACTGACTTATTGCATCCTATGATAGTACCATGCTTGAATTCCCTGAGCTCTTCAGAACGACCCATTCTTTCACAAATGTTTGTATACTGACTGAATGGACACGTGCTTGACTTTATACCCCTGTGGCAATGGATCTGAATGAAACGCTTGAATTCAATCACTGGAGAGATGTGTCCCAATACTTTTGTCCATATAGTGTATGTGCCATCATGAAAATGGTTTACCCATAATCTCTATTTTTTCTACAGCCAATCATTTGATCATTAATTTCCTGGAGCTTTTTCCACATGTGAAAATAGGTGGTTCCCTGCCCCACCGAGAAAAACACAGACCTTGGAACTGTCTTTAGCATCAGAGAGGATTTCACAGTAATCCCCTTTTAAAACTACTCGTGTGATGATAGCTAACAGACTTTGGTAATTGTGCCGCAGGTTAGAAGCAGATCTCGCTTTATTGGCTGCAGCACGCTGTCGTCTAGGAGGCTTATGTTAAACTTTTGGTCTTGGTCTCTCAGAGTCCCAGAGCGGCAGAGCTTCCAAGCCCTAAAACACTTTGTTCACCTGTCCCGTAAACCAACTCATCTGTAAAGCAATAAAACGGTATAATTAAGGGCACAGATTTATTTATTTATTTTTTTGTTTAATAAATGGAACAGGGAGAGAAAGTGAGACACAGAAGAGATACAGAAGCCAGGTGGCGGTTCACGCTCTTTGGATTCAGACTGCAGAGTCTCTGAGGCGTAAGACAGACAGGGGCTTAAAGTCCATTGCTACCGGTAAGGTCAAGGAAAAGGCCCTGGAGGGGCACAGTAGATACTGGTGCTGTTTCAGAGACGTGGATTAAGGATCTCAGATGCAACGCAAAAAATAATGTGGTTTGAGGTTGCCAGGTCTCCACTGAGGATTAAAACCTTCTGCCTCTGTGCCTTTGGAATATTGAGGGGAAAATATTCCCGGCAAAAGGTCCCTGTTCTTATGCATACTTCTCGTATCTGGAGGCATGTGATAAATGTCATCACTGGGATGCTGTATTCATGATAGCAACGCCACAAATCCTTTCCATCCCTCTACGAGGTGCCATACATGTATCTACTAGGCCATTACCTTCAACAATCTCATCTGCTCTATTTACTCTCTATCTTTTTGCTCTTCCCAGGCAAATCAAAAGCCAGCCTTGTTTTTATTAAGTCTCTATGCTGCGAGTTCAGATTGCCAGCTGAACGACCCTGATTCTTAAAACCCGTCACTCAGCCTGCTGTGTCAGCCAGAACTTTGCTCTGAAGGAGTCGTTGCAGCGAATTGTCCACCTGATATTCCCCACAACGGACGAGATGAATCTGCAGGACTTGTACTGCCAAACGTCGGGCGATTTTTAGGAGCTCAAGACTTCCATATGTCTTCAGACCTTCAGACTGTACAGACCTATGGTGGTGAGAAGGTCTGGATTCAGGCCAAATGAAAATGCCTTCAAGATGGAAGAGAAGGTTTGCTGGTGTAGCAGAAATCTGGAGAACATGAAAAAACAAGATAGTCATCTGCTGAATAGGTCAAGTTAACTGTAATTAATAAAGTGAAAGCAGAAGGAATGAAGTACAAAGGCAATTAATTAGTCTTCAGCGATGCATACAGGAATAACACATGGTTGTGATTAATCACTGCATAGCCAAAAAAAGAAAAAATCACCTCAACTTGGCGTGGTGGACCATGTGTTCAAACATGGCCTACCTTGAAGACGGTTATTTATGTCCCATTCTGAGGCTTTGAGGGGCGGTCACAAATTTATAAATGCTGTGTCATTCCATGACCACCATTCTTTTGGGACAGATTTGGGGGAAAGTGCTTTTTAAAAGTAGATTATATATTTCATTCTTAAGAAAGTGTGTGACATTGTATATCCCCAAAGAGGCAGCTGACAGGGAGTATCAGTATGACTTTCCATTCCTGTGCGTTTAAAACAATTTTTCTTCTGGGATTGATAGTAGCTGCTCTGAACTGACGGTTGGCGTCGAGTCTCGTGCTTCTCCTTATCAACCGTTTAATCTCCAGCTTGGTCTCTCCTGTGGCTTTGCCACACATATTTCTTTCCAGGTGAAAGAGGTGGTCCTGCTTGATGGAAGCCAATCAGATCAAGTGAGCATGTTCTTCGTTGCCATGCCGCCGTTCATCTGAAGAGAATCGCGATTCTTCTCATATGAGACTGAGGGTCTGCTCAGGTGCTGCCGCGTTTCGAAGCCTTTTGTGCCGTCTGTCTGCACCTGTTCATAAAGTTTTCAGATTTTCCACCTGTGTTAATCTGATAGTTTCACCTGGGCTGTGCATCATCCTGCCTCTATCCAGAAGAAAGTTCAAGCTCTGACTTTTCAATTATATTGTATACATCAGGGATGTTTTAACGCTAATTTTTAAATAATTGCTCTGATGTTATTAACTGGATCATGTAACCATAAATTTACAGCAAAGTAATTAACTTTTATTTGCATACATTTTTAATTTCCCAATTCTCTTGATCACTATTTAAAACAATTTTTCTAAAAATTAATAAAATGTTAATAACTTTCACAAAGAGTGGGATCACAAGCTGAACACGGCTATTGTTATGGTGATTTAGTCATTCACGCAACACCGTCATCCATGGAAACCAGTAGCTTGAAATATTAGATTCTGAACAAACAGATGAAATAGACAAACTTCACATGATCAAGGATATATTGAGAACATCTGACTTGTGTTGCTTAAAAGTGCACTTGAACTCTGTTGACTCAGAAAATAGACAGAGTGGGAATTAGCTTTAATATAAACTGATTTAAGTCGGCAACATTGTGGGAGAAATGTATAACTTCAGGAAATCAAGACAACCGGCTGGAATAGAATTCTTAGGTAGGCTTTGAAGCAGACAAAAGAAATGGTGACAGAGATATTAATGCATACAGCAGTTATTCTGTACCGATGGTCGGTCTCATAAGGTTAATGAATATTAACCTGTTTATTCTCAGGGTGGATGCAGGAATAAAATAATTACAGGCTTTTACAACCATTTAACTAATAACCAGTTATTTCCAAATCTAGAGAGGAAGCATCGCCAAAAGAAGTGGAAATCCAGCACCCCCCCCGTGGCCCCCGTATCTGCCACCCCCAGCTTCTCACTGATTCATACCAGA